CCCCGAGGCCAAAAAAAAAAAAAAAAAGGAAAAAAAGGGGGAAAAAAAAAAAAAAACGAGATGAGAGAAAGCCAAAAAAAAAAAATATCATGGCCACACTTCATCTTCCTTTGATCCCCCTCCCCCGTTGGATCACCCGCTGCGGATAACCCTCGACGAAAATAAGGACGATAAGAACAAAGCGATTAAAACGAGTAGGTGTGTTTGAAACAAAAAAAAAAAAAAAGGGGGGGGGGGGGGGGGAGGAGGGAGAGGAAAGAAAGAGAGAGAAAGAATGTGGTGGGGAGAAGAGGAGCTGATGACATCATCAGACGCACTCCAATTTATTTTTTTATTTATTTATTTTCTTCATCCCTTTTATTCCCTCCTTCCTCCTCCCCGCCCCCGCCCCAGACCTGTTTTTTCTCTATAAATTCCACTCGCAGAAGACTGACATCTTACGCCATTGAGTTGTACTGCCTGGTGCTGGCCAAAAGATAAAAAAAGAAAAAAAGAAAGGTTCAAAAAGCAACAAACAAACAAACGACAAAAAAAAAAGCCAGGCGCCCTAACCCCACCCCTACAAAAAGCCCATCGTGGTTATTGATGTCAAATGCAGAAATTTCTAAAAATATTGAATTATTTCTTGTGTTTGTTTAACGGAATATGCGCTTGGATGGGGTTGTGCCCTGCCCCCTCCCCCTTTTCTTTTTTCTTCGTTATTCCTATAAAAGGAGTACAACACACAACACATACACAAACGCAATGAAGCAAGTGGCAATGCGGTTCAATGCACCCAACGTCCCTAACACCTCAGAAAGGAGAAGAAAAAAAAAACAAAACATTCATGAAACACCCAAAATCACCAAACAAATAATTTCAAAAGACATAAATATTACTATACGACACAACTGGGCCCGTGGCAAACACACACACACACAAAAAAAAAAAAAAAAAAAAAAGTGACAGTTTCTTTACGTTCCTCTCCTCCCGCGAGCACCGGACCCCACCGCATGGAAAACGATAAGATGTGGGCGAAATAAAAATAAAAGTAAAAACAAAAAAAAAGAAAAGAAAATAAAATAAAATAAAAGAAAGAAGACAAAAAAAAAAAAAAAAAAGCACCCGCTGCCTTACAACGCGTTTTTTTTTTTTTTAAACCACAAGAAAAAAAGAAAATCAAATCTTCAATACGTCAAGAAAAAAAAAAAAAAAAACAAGAAAAAAAAAAACGAGAAAACAAACAAAAGCAAATGCTATCATCTCCGTGGTCCGATTGGGTCAAAAATCCTTTGCAGAAGCGTGCACAGGGAAATAAAACGAATTCCTTCGGGCACAAACTCCCACCCCACACCCTCTCAAAAAAAAAAAAAAAAAAAAAAAAAATCTTTCAGTTATTCAAAATGCATAGGGTACATAGAATAATATCAAACACAGGGCAGTAGTTTTTATAAATTTTAGAGTGGCATAATCACTTTTTTTTTTTTTTTTAAGGAAAAAAATAAAAGAAGAAGAAGAAGAAGAAAGAAAGAAAAAAAGAAAAAATATGGATGCACCTGCCATGGCAATTAAACCCGCGCCATAGATGGAAAAGAAACCCAAAAAAAAAAAAAAAAAAGAAAGAGAGGAAAGGAAAGAAAGAAAGTAACAGAGCATGAAAACATGAAAGTAAAGAGTTGAATATAAAACGAAGGGAGTAAACGGGTTCGTCCACACGCGGTGAGAAAGCGTAAGAATGCAAAAACAACAACAACAAACAACAAACAGAAAAATAAGAAAAGCATCACTTATTTTGATCTCACATCGTATCATTATTATCATTATTTATTTATTTATTTATTTTCATTTGTTTTTGTTGTTTTTGTTTGTTTGTTTGTTTGTTTTGTTTTTGCCCTCACTCCCTTTCACACCGTCCTTTGACTCTGGTTCTTCCACCCACACATACCTACAACGCAGACGCACTTGTTATATTGTTATTTTCCATCTTTTCAAGAGGCGATGCCTCCTCATCCCACCCCACAATCCTTCCACCTCCAAATGAAGATGCAACAAAGAAGTGTGGTAACGATGATGATGATGATGACAAATGAATAGAAAAGAACAAAATTTTTTTCTTTTTTCTTTTTTTTTTTCGGATTAATGTAATGTATTTTGCATGCATAATTGTATACATACAATATCTTCGTTCATTTAAAAAAAAAAAAAAAAAAATCAAATAAATATTGTATTCGCACGGAAAAAAAAAAAAAAAAAAAAGAAAGGAAATAAAAAAAAAAAAAGAAAAAAAGAATTCACGGCTTTATCCTGAGCGTAGCTACAGCGATTAAAAAGTTCACACACAACGAAGTACAGAACCACCGCACTGGTCACTGAAAAAATGAGAAAACTGTGTAAGGATGCGACACTGCTGGAGGGCGTGGCTCTGCCAATCCAGGGATTGGCGCCGGTGACAGGGGCGACCTGTGCTGACACGGGGATGACGACCAGTACATGCTGAATGGAGTAGCCGCTGAGGCATCAATCGGAAGAAGCAGAAGTGGAGAGTTGGTTGCAGGTTTGCTTATTGGCATTGTGTTGTTTACAAGCGGGGCGGGGACGGGCATCGGCATGGTCACAACCGGTGGGGCAACGTTTTGATCTGTCCCCAATAACTCCGGCGGCGGAATGGCAAAGGCCATGTAGTCCTGTGGCCTGTACGTCTGAGCTCCCATTGCATGAAGTTGATCCAGCTGTGCCTGTGTCCCGTGAAAAAACACGCATTTATCACGCAGACAGGCACGTTTTGCGTAAAAGTGGCACACACTAAGCGGCACCTTTCTCGTTTCCCCGTTGCGAATATGAATGTAAGAGCAGCTGGACGAACGAGGGCATTCGTTTTTCAAAAAATAGTCAGGACAAATAAGGCCTTTGTTCCTGTACATTTCAGCAACATGCTGCCGCCGTTGCTCGGCCGTCCACATATCGGGAAGATTTATCATGATTCAAAGTTCACTGTGGGCTATGCCTCAACGATGACAGAGGCCTATACAATTCCCCAAAATAAAAACAGCAACTAAATATAAATATAAATATTTATTTATTTTTATAAAGATAAAGAAAAAAAAAAAAAAAAAAAAGAGCCATTCAAAAATAATAATCTATAAATATATAAATGCACACTTACGTACATGCATCCGCACCAATTTACGTATATATTATATAATATGTTTAAAACTCGCTCGTTTCTATAGACGATGAAAAGGTGGTGACTTACAAACCGCTCTGTTGGCTCTATACAAACTCTCTTGTGTGGCGTACGCAAATTTGAGGTAATGAATAACGCCACGTCCTTCCTTTACAGTACTCCCAAAAAGGAAAAAGATAACGTCGTGGTCACCAGTGCCATTACATTTCCAGCAAAACGAAAACCGTAACCGGCGTAAAGTCGCCTTCCGTAGCTTGGCGATGGTGCAGGTCGATAAACTTCCGCCAGTAGGGAACGCCAGCAGAGAGTCTGAAGGGGGTAAAGAACCAAATCCAGAGCAGCCGTGGCAGCAAAAGAACCAGTTATTGCTTTATATCTGAAATACCGCCACTCGTCCGTATCCAGCAAATCCGGCCGTCGACGAAGTATGGAAGAAGGAGTCGGAATAAATGCCGAACCTGCCGTTTCATACCAAGTTATCCAAGTGGCCTGGTAAGGTAAAAGAATGGCCATGGGCCACAGAGAAATGACACCCCGCATGAGGGAGCGCATTGGCCAGGGGCGAGGCGTCACGGGACCAAAGTGATGTAACAGCACGGCGTTCAGTAATGGTGTCGTCGCTAAATGGGACACCGCATT